AAATTGTGCTCAAATTCATTCAAGTTCGAAGCTGCAGTCAACTGTGAATGAAAAACAAAGTATGAAAAGATAAGTAAGGTTAAATGTGAGATGTATTTAAACTATTTCGTTTAAGGTGATAAGGGAACTCGGAGTTCAATTCTTTCACAATGATATGAGCCGATCTTACGTTTCCAATGAATTTCACATAGCCTTGCTTTCCTAAAGGGAATTCTTATCCAAGTTAGACTGCAGTTTCAACCTCGCCTATATCTCATCAGCACCCCCAGCGGGACTCGAACTATGACAGTACAGAGTATAATTTCGACACGCTAATCACTACGCCACATTGCCACGAGTACCTTTGGGTGATATGACATATATGAATTTCAAGGAAGGCAAGACCTTGTCCTATGCACATTCTGTGGTGGGATTCTAAAGCAAAGTTGTTTTTGCCATTACAATCGACTACGTTATCTACTTTCGTTTTTAAGTGAGTTTTAAAAACTACCATTAGATTAAATATATTATATATATTCACCCTGTTTTGTATTAGGTTATGACCAGACTGGTGACTGAATTGTCTCACAATGATATAAGTTGACCTTACCACATAATGAGATTTGGGGAAACGCCCGGCCCTCCTTAGGATTTGCATCTCCTTTGTGACTCAAGGCACTCGTGCTAGTGTGGCATAATGGTTAACGTGTCGAGATTATACGCTGCACTAACATTGTTGTTGTTCTCTTGGGGATGCTGGTCAGACCTAGGTGAGGTCGAAATTGCAGTTAACTAAAGATCAGAATACATTTTGTGATAGCAAGGCTTTATGAAATACAGCGAAAAGGTAAGATTATTGTGAAACTATTCAACTACTAGTCTCATTATTACCCTAATCAAAATAGAATGAATACATCTCATATATATGCTCTACTAATGGTCACCAAAACCTGCTCACGAACGAGAAATAGCTAAGAATAAAGCTGAAAAGTAGCCAACTTCTTTAGGTTATTATACATAACTATAATACTAACTCACCAACTGATATATGTCACGGAATTTCCTGCTAAAGATCCCATTTCTAAAGCTTAAAGATATAAATAATAATACAGCTATAGATTACATCAGTGATTCCCAAACTGTGCGCCGCGGCTCCCCGAGGCGCCGCGAAATATTGTAAAAACTTCAATTTGAAAAAATGTGCTATGATTTGCAGGCTGATCCATCACATTAATTATCAAATATTAATTTAATGTTAATAAAGTAAAAAAAAAGAAGATACACGAGTTTTATTGATTTTTATCTCTTATTTACGAATAGTCGTACTTAGGGTAGGGCGCCATGGAGAGTTTAATTGAAAAATGGCGCCACGACTAGGAAAAGTTTGGGAACCACTGGATTACATGATAGAAGGCTGTATCGATCGGCTTATATTCTGCTCAGCAATGTCATTCACCTAACTAAATACCAATCAAAGATACGTGGATTGAGCCAACTCGATCAGCTAAAATCCATAAAGAACATGCTGCATAAAAATACATGCTACTCCTTCCCTTCAAATATATTTTTTATCGTACCTTTCTAAACTACCAGAGGGGTTCAACCCCACTTTTTATAGCTGCCTACAAAAGTGACGTTGCTATGATGTTGACATTGTTACGACACGGAGCAGAGGTGAATAGCGTAAACTTTGAGGGTCAGACTCCACTTCACGGCGCCTGCACAAATGGAAATAGGAAAATGACGCAGGTTTTGCTAAACTGTGGTGCCTTGGTTGACAAGCCAGATAGGGTAACTCATAGATTTTTAATCGCATTTTAGGTTATGAAATTTCAAAAGCTCCTCTATCATATTTTTTTATTTGTTTCTTCTTTAAATGCACACTACATTATATATTCGCCGTATGCTTAGTAAAAATAATAATAATTAGCACTTACTCTTTTAGCATCTCTAGCACAAATAAAGTGAGGCTTACCTCATAAAATGGATAAAACCTCTTTGTCTTTTGGTAGTCTAACATTGATATACCGTCAAATGTATTAAGTGAAGTACAATTTTTTTTATTGTATCAATGCTAGTGTTTAATCACAAAAGCAATCTTGTGAGTAAATCTCCTCGAATACTCAAGCAAAAACATTTTCTGGCCGCCTAAATGAAAAATTTCATAGTCAAAATATTTACTTCTATATTTTTATACCAATAGAATTAATCAAAGAGCTAAAACTTTAGTAATCGTTTATTTAGTCTTAAAACTTTATATCGTTCCTTTACTTTGACAGTGCTCCTCTCTATAATATAATTGAGGCCCTATCTAACCTCACTTTATGCATTATTTATACAGCAGGGTGAAACTGCTTTGCATAAAGCTGCCTCAAACGGCCAAACTAGCGTTATCCCAATACTACTTAAACGGCGAGCGCGTATTGATGCTTTAGACAACCTTGGAAACACCCCTCTTCACCTCGCATGTCTTCAGCCAAGCACATTGGTCATTGAAATGCTATTAGACAATGGAGCTCGAGTGGATATTTGGAATGAGGTAAATTTTCTTTAAACTTAGCAGAATTATCGAATTTTCTTTGCAATTATACTTTAAAAAATATAAAGTTTCATCATTATTTTAGTATCATAAAACCCCAATTACTCAGTTTCTCATTACCTAGGTGCATTCTAATTAATTACTAATTCACAGTGGAGTAAATTAATCATTGAAATTTTTACAGGCTTATGATATAGGATTTTATAACCCCAAATTAACAGGGATACACAACAAAATAAAACATAATTCAGAATAGAAAATGTTGTATAGACCTCGTTTTCGCACATTCTAGAACTGGGTACACTGGCTTAATCGAGGAGAGGATGTGTGAAGGTAATGCCTAATATCCGCAGTCATGGGAATCCGACCTAGAGGCCCTTTGAAGATAAGGCGACTTTGTACGTGCTACTGAAGGCTTGAGAAATAGCACTTGGAGTAAAAGTACGCTGGGGCTGGAACCGAGGGAAATCGGTCAACCATAAAGATAAGAAACGGACCTAAGGGCTCATGAGGCAGATCCGATCAGGAGACTACAGCAGGATCAGCCAGTCGAAAGGGAGGAGAGCGAGGAAAACAGCAGATGTGATGACGCCACGGTGAATTCGCCAAAAGGACACATCTACAGTGGAATATGAACATGTCAGAAATTGTGATAGGACGAGGGCGAGACTAGAGGGTGGGAAATGTATATAGGGACCGAGACAAAACGAGGAGTGATAGTATAACCGTCTCGACAGAAATTTGCTCAAGGGTTTGACTTCAGTTGTCTCTTTCACGAGCTTTAGCTTGGCTGCTGAGAATGACAATACTCACTGGGGATGCCGACTACGATGCCGGCGAAACGTCTTGGAATGTACCAAATCCACGATCAGATTCTGGAAATGATCATACATACTATGGAAACCAGACGAGGTAAATTCCTCTAGGTCTTCCAGCTAATATGGCCAAGTTGCGAAGCGAAGGTCAAAAAACTTCCATATTAATTGTATTATTCAACAATCAGAAGTAAATACTTTCTCAATATAATTTGAGTGCTAGTTTTAAATTAATACATAGTTTATTTTACATTTTCAGTGACAGGATTTTTCTTATTCCTACTTTATTATTTGTTTCAGAAACAAGAAACTCCATTGGACTTAGCGATTAGAGCAAATAACATTGAAATCTCAGATTTGCTTAAGCATGAAATGATTCAGCACATCAAGAAAACCAGTGCTTATAAAAATTAAAAATGTTTGTTTCAATATTAAATTCGCATTTGACTGTGTTTTGTGTTTTTGTAAATCTATATTCCGAATTTTGACATGCTCTAAATGAAAATGAAACGATTATTTGCTCTTGCTTTGCTTATTAAACTAAGATAAACTAATTTTTTCACATTATATAATTGGATAATAACTCAATATATTGCAATGAGATGAATTCCTGTGAATATACGATAAGAAATTGAAACATGTATTTCAACAGGAACGCGAAAAATACTTGGAGAGATGATTTCTTTTAGTTTTAATATAGGTTTATACTAATAATGCAACATTATCAAATAAGTATGAAGATAAACTGGATCTAGAAGCTTTTAGTGAGGCTAACTTACGATGTCATTTGCCTCTTCAAACAAAATAAAAGGTATTCCAACATTATGACATAAGGTTGAAGTAAAACGACTTTTGCTAATTTATCAGCTAATTTTTTCAGCAATTGTAGATGTAATTAGATAGAAGTTCGTCACAAGGTCAATTTGTCGCTAACTATTATCTTTACCGCATATATGATAGTCTACTGTTCGGCCACGTGACATATAATAGCATGATATATTTTATTTGGATGCAATTTAGACCAGAAAGTGATCTTTATTTAATATTGTACCGTTTAGATTACAATCCAACTGAGAACGGTAAAAAATGTAAAGTCCATCGGTGACCAGTTTAATATGCTTCATAGCCTGGCGAGTACTGCAAAAGAAGTGAAAACGCCATACATCTGTGATAGATACAAACTTGTTGCAGAAGTAACGAGATCCATTTTAATGTAACCTTATGCCATACTGTTGACTTGAGACTATTATGTTTTCAAAGACCCCGAGATGCAGCCAGATCTTAGAGATTTCTTCAGTATAATTTATTTCTAAAGAAATCTGTTTTGGGCATTAAATGTAATACCTAACAACCTATTCAATCGTTTGTAGTACGTCAATTAGCCTACTGTGAAAAGCTAAAGGAGTCTGGATGAATCAAATGTCAAGCTGCTAATATGCCTCCGCACTCACTACGTTCGTATGAGCAAGAGCAAGTTGACGAATACGAATTGTACCAAAAGGTGCAACATTTTGCTACTGAAACCGTTTTAATGAAACATCGAGCAATAGGTATTTTGAACAAGTTGAAATTTAGCCGTTTTAGGGAAATTGAGTGAACAAGAGAGAGAGTTATTTTAACGTAGGAAGATCAAGTTGATGCGGTCCTTAGTATAGCTTCAATCCCAATCGTTGTGTAGAAGTAGTTAGTTTCGTAACTTGATCATATTGGCAGGAAGACCTAGAAGGACGCATCTTGTCCGGAGTCCATACCATGCATGTCACTTTCCACAGTCGGACCGTTGACCTGGTACATTCTCAGAGCATTCACCATCATCGTAGTTGGCATCGTCAGTTATCCTTGCCAGTCTTAATACCAAACCACAACTCGTCAAATAGACAAGTGAAGTCAGCTCTTTGACCAAATGTCTGCGAAGCATTTGTATTATATCTCCATCTGTCTTGGTTTATTCATGTCTCCTATATCGTCGTAACAACTCTTCACTACCGCAATGGCCTACCTGCTTACTTAAATCTGGTTGAATTGTGCCCTTTTGGGAGGATTTGCTGAGTCCGATTCACACTCCTTGATGGTTTTCAAATCCCCCCCTGTACTGGGAGTATTGACCCAAGGCTGCAGACTAGTTCGAAATCCTCTTCTTCCAGATCCTATCATAGTCGCCTTCTTGCTCCATAAGATCTGTCTCTCAGTGACTTTATTTGCTCGCTGCTAACAAATCCGTACCACTCGAGACGTTATGCTCTACACTATCTCGATCCTGTAATAGTACGTATCAGCCAGCCTCACTGGCCAAGCCCTCAAAGTCTGGATTCTCAAGTAGCATAGAAACCCAACTTCAAGCTACAGATCCCTTATCATTGTTCGGCAAGTGCACTGAGTAAATCGCATGGTCAAGTAGGCAGCCTTGGATAAACACTCCCAGCTTAGAAGGGGAATTTAGAAGCATCAAAGAGTGTGAATAGGTGTGAGTAAATCCGCTTAAAAGGGCACAACTCAGCCAGATTTAAATAAGCAGTTAAACCATTGTGGTAGTGAAGAGGTGTTACGAGGATAAAGAAAAGTGAAAACTCCAGGACAGATGGAGATATATTGCAACTGTTTGACAGACATTTGATCAAAGGACTGACTTCACCTGTCTATTTGAAGAGTTGTCGTTTGGTGCTAAGACTGGCAAGGTTAACTGATGATGGCAACTGCGATGACAATGAAACCTCTAAGAATATACCAAGTCCACGTGCCGACTGTGGAAATTTTCATGCATAGTATGGACTCCGGACAAAGAGCATTTTTTTAGACAAGTGCGTTAAACCTGCCAATATGATGAATTATTTGGGGGACTTTCATTTTATACGAAATGAAAGACCGCCAATAGTGTTATCTCATGAGATTCATCGAAGCCCAGTTTCTCTTCGTATCTATAATATGAGCAAGTTGCGAAAACAAGGTAAAACAACTTTTATTAATAGATATTGTTTATTATATCGTTTCTTCAGTTATGTGTTCATTTTGGAGTAAATTCTTCCATAGGCAGGTCCTACTAAAGAAATAAGTTGTTTAGTTGCTTGTAAAATTTTGCAAATTAATAATATTAAAAGTTGTTTGACCTTGCTTTCCAACTTGGTCATATAGGTAGGAAGACTTAGAAACGTATGATCATTTCCATAGTAGGACCGTGGATATGGTACATTCACAGACGTTTCGCCAGGACCGTAATCGTTATCGTCAGTGAGTTTTTTCACTCTTAGCAACATACTACAACTAGCTGGAGACAAGTGAAGCCAATCCTTTGACCGAATATGAGCTAAACAGTTGTGGTATCTCTCCTTCTGCCCTGGGCTATTCCCATTTCCTATATCCTCCTATCACGCCTTCACTGTTACACTTTTTACCGTGCTTTTTTAGATGTGATGTGGTGTTCTCTATTGAGCGTAAAAGGGACATTAGGTTCACGATGGAAATGGAAGAGAATAGGTCCTTACCTCTTTGGGATCTTCTCATCATTAGAGAAGAGGGTAGATTAGGAAGAGATGTTTATAGGAAGCCAACATATGTTAGCTCTGCTTAATTTTCTTTTCAACCTTAGTTACAAGACTAAGGTTGGAATTTTGAAGTCAATAATTATTAGAAGTATGAGGCTAGAGGATAGCAAACATTTGACTAAAGAGTTAGAGCGGCTGACAAATATATTCCTGGACAATAATTATCCTTTGTGCCTTATTGAGAATACTCTCTCTACTGAGGAAGAAATTTTCAGAAGGAGACCATTTAGTCAAAGATAGACAGACTGAGACCTTTTCCCATGTCCTAATTTTGCCGCCATGTCTGTTCTCAAAAAAGATAAGCGGATTAGTAAAAAAGTGGGGCATTCAAACAGTGATAAAAGGAACCCTCACACTTTTTTCTGTTATGCCATCTTTTTGAGAGAAATACGACCCATTATCGAGATCCGGTTGCTGCAAGATTGTTTGCTCATGTGGACGATGTTATGTTGATGAGACTTGCCGACCTATTCGACAAAGATTAGGACAACACAAAAATGCTTGCAAAGGAAGCTGGATCCAGCGGTCAGAGGTGGCTGAACACATGGTAGAAACTGGACATAAAATAGAACGGTCTCAAACCAGTATGCTTGCTGATTACAGTAAATCTGTGGTTAAAAGAAAGATAAGAAAAGCTATCGGAATTAATAACTTAGAATAT